AAGTAAAACTACATGTTTAATTTAGCAAACACTGCCTTACAGAGCACGGAACACAAATGATTTTACACAGGTAACAACAAAGCTGACTTTATTTGACATTAAATACAAGATACCGGGGGCCATTAATTTATAATCACTGAGGTTTTTTTCCTCTCTTTATTTTAGTTTATTTGCTTCTTGTTAGTATATACTGCACTGAGCTTGTTAGCAGATTTTGCAGTTGGCTTTAAAAACACATTAACCAATTTCTGCAGACTTAATTGTCCATAAAATTGCTTTCTATGGAAACCTCATATTATCTACTCTGATTCATTGCACTCGTTATACTTATTGAGGGTTACCTGTTTTCTCATTTACAGAAAATTCTATACTATTGTTTATGACCGTTGTAAACGCTTGCCTGAATCCAGCGCCAAGTTACTGTACGCAAATTTCTATTGTCTATTTACCTTTAGAAACAAGGATATAGCCCTTCCAATAAGTTAGTATTTCTCCGTGTGTCTCCACTGAAAATAAACAAAAAAAATCTGTTGCCTGCTGAAAAACATTTTTCTTTTGTTTCAATCATTTATTACAAAACATGAACACATTTTATGCTTTGTCGTAAATTGTAATTTTTTTTTGGTTGTAAAATTTCAAGGATTTTAATAGCTTACTTTAGGTTCAGGACTGCCAAAAACTGGTGTTGTGGCAGACTTATGTAACATAAAATGTTGTAAACGTTTAAAACTAAGTCTTATAAACAAATATAAAAATATTTCAGAAACTTTTATTTTTCAATCTGTTTGTATCTAATAAAAACGCACAGCTTAGTTCTGCAGATTTTTAAAAACAAAATCCATAACAAAGTGAATATTTTGCATTAACAGCAATGTGCTTCGATATTATAAAAATGCTAATCTTGGGTTAATGTTAAATTAAAGGTTTTTTTTTAATGGCTCCACAAAAGAAATGTAGTAGTTTAGTTTTGCAAATAGATGCAAAATACATGCAATAAAAATATATTGGCCTCCAGAAAATGCAAAAATTGTTCACCTATGCACAATTTAATATGGTTAATGCTGAATATTTTTTTATTATTCAGACATTGAACTGATCTTAAGCTGAGCTTAATTTGAAAGAGAAAACAACTAATAACAGTTGACATCTTTCTTTATGCATATTTCTCTCTTTGAAGCAACAAAATAATGATTTACCACCCAGCCACATGGCCTTGCCTTTGGGAAGCATAGTTTTGGAGGTTATTTTATATGTTAATTTTTCCCTGAATGAAACTATTTCAGCCTAATTTAGAATGTATATACGCACTTAGTCATAGATAGCTGATGGGTCTAAAATCAATGCGAACTCTCTTAAAGGGGAACATTCACATTCTATGATTTTATACGGACTTATCCCTTATATTTAGTAAATATGTGTTAATGAGGGCTGAAAAATAAAATGAAATGCATTTACTTAAATCTTTGCTCCATGTCTATCATTGTTACATTATTGAACACGTTGGAAGAGAAGAAGGTAAAGCAATGCTTCTGTTTCCCCTCCTTATTTGCACTCTCTGCCTTGCCGGTGCCAGGACTGAACTGGATTGGGATGTTGTTTGCTTCCCGAGCAGGGAGGCGGGGCTAAATGGCAGCAGGGGTGGAGCTAAACATGCCCAGAAGCCGATGCTGCACAGTAAGGGGGAAGCATGAAGGTGTCCCTGCTTCCCCAAACAACTCTAGGAGCTGCAACAACTTACCAGACTTAAGGAGCAGCAACTGCCTCCACCTTTCCCTGCCAGCCCATAATGGAAAGAGGTAACTTTGTATGTGACTGTCTGCCTGAGTGTGACTGTAACTGTGTGTGTGTGACTGTCTGCCTGTTTGTGACTGTCTGTCCATGTGTGTGACTGTAACTGTGTTTGTGACTTTCTGCCTGTGTGTTACTGTAACTGTGTGTGACTCTCTGCCTGTGTGTGACTGTAACTATGTGTGACTCTCTGCCTGTGCTCCAACTGTGTGTGTGAGACTGTCTGCCTGTGTGTGACTGCAACTGTTTGTGTGTGAGACTATAACTGTTATTGTCCCTGCTTTCCCAAACAACTCTAGGAGCTGCAACAACTTACCAGACTTAAGGAGCAGCAACTGCCTCCACTTTTCCCTGCCAGCCCATAATGGAAAGAGGTAACTTTGTATGTGACTGTCTGCCTGTGTGTGACTGTAACTGTGTGTGTGTGTGTGTGACTGTCTGCCTGTGTGTGACTGTAACTGTGTGTGACTCTCTGCCTGTGCTCCAACTGTGTGTGTGAGACTGTCTGCCTGTGTGTGACTGCAACTGTTTGTGTGTGAGACTATAACTGTTATTGTCCCTGCTTCCCCAAACAACTCTAGGAGCTGCAACAACTTACCAGACTTAAGGAGCAGCAACTGCCTCCACTTTTCCCTGCCAGCCCATAATTGAAAGAGGTAACTTTGTATGTGACTGTCTGTCCATGTGTGTGACTGTAACTGTGTGTGTGTGACTGTCTGCCTGTGTGTGACTGTAACTGTGTGTGTGTGTGTGACTGTCTGCCTGTTTGTGACTGTCTGTCCATGTGTGTGACTGTAACTGTGTTTGTGACTTTCTGCCTGTGTGTTACTGTAACTGTGTGTGACTCTCTGCCTGTGTGTGTGACTGTCAGCCTGTGTTTGTGTGACTTTAACTGTGTGTGTGATTGTCTTCCTGTGTCTCTGCCTGTAATTATGTGTGACTGCAACTGTGTGTGTGGCTGTCTACCTGTGTGTGTGTGCCTGCCTGCCTGCTTGTGTGTCTGTAACTGTCTGTGTGTATGGCTGTCTGACTGCCTGCCTGCATGTGTGTGTGTGTGTGTGTGTGTGTGTGTGACTGTAACTGTGTGTCCCTGCAAATGTGTGTGTGACTGCAAATGTGTTTGTGACTACAATTGGGTGTGTGGCTGTAACTGTATGTGTGACTGTACCTGTGTGTATGACTGTGTTCATGTGTGTGTGTGACTGTACCTGTGTGAATGACTTCAACTGTGTGTGTGACTGTGCCTGTGTGTGTGACTATCTGCATGTGTGTGTGTGTGTGTGTGTAACTGCAACTGTTTGTGACTGTCTGCCTGAGTGTGTGCCTATCTGCCTGTGTGTGACTGTAACTGTGTGTGTGACCAATAAAGTGGCAACAGGGAAGGAGGAATGAATATTTGTTTTTATAAATCATTAATTTTATAAATCCCCTTTACAAGCACTACACCTCTACACACACACACACACTATACATAGATAAAGGGAGTTGACTTTGAGGGAGGGACACTGTGAAGATGTTTCACACAGGTCACCTAGAGACCTAAGGTCGGCCCTTGTCTGCAGTACTGATTGTATTAAAGCCAGTACAATTATTATTCAACACTTTTCCATCTGAATATAACTAGCAAGTAAAAATATGTGTGTGTGTGCTAGTAAAGAGTCTAGCTTAATCACAGATGTGATATGGTTAAAATTTATTTTGTAATTCTTGAAGAGGCATGCATAATAGTATTAATAATGTATCACTTAAAATAATAACTACCGATCTCTTTTTTTTGCCACTCCAGGATGCTGCTATCTCTGTAGCAATCACTTTATATGAGTGCAGATGGCAAATGTATTGCAATTGTGCTTCTATTTGTCAAAGCGACATATTCATACACCCAGCAATTTATATGCAGTCCTTTTGTTACAGTAGCCACCTCATAATATGGAGTCTAGCTGAGACCGATAGGTGTTAAGTAGGAACTATTTAAAGGACCACTATAGGCACCCAGACCACTTCAGCTTAATGAAGTGGTCTATGTGCCAGATCCAGCTAGGATTAACCCTGTCGTCTATAAACATAGCAGTTTCAGAAAAACTGCTATGTTTATAATAGGGTTAATCCAGCCTCTAGTGGCTGTCTCATTGACAGCCGCTAGAGGCGCTTCCGCGCTTCTCACTGTGATTTTCACAGTGAGAAGATGCCAGCGTCCATCGTAAAGCATTGAGAATGCTTTCCTATGGACTGGCTGAATGCGCGCGCGGCTCCTGCCACGCATGCACATTCAGCCGATGACGGCTTTATGGAGGAGGAGAGGAGGAGGAGAGTTCCCCACCCTGCGCTGGAGAAATAGGTAAATTTAACCCCTTCCAGCCCCTAGAGCCCGGCGGGAGGGGGGCCCTGAGGGTGGGGGCACCCTCAGGGCACTATAGTGCCAGGAAAACGAGTATGTTTTCCTGGCACTATAGTGGTCCTTTAAATTTTAAGTCCATCTGGAGTTTTGGTGATTTAGAAGCATTTTTAAATTAATATAAATGGGGTAATTATGGTTTTTTATGATTCTGTTGGCTGACATCATCAGAATTAACGATCCGGTGGGAAAGCATTGTATTGGCTTAGATCGTCATTTCTGTTGATCGCCTCCGAGGAGGCAGGAGGCGGAGCTAAACACCTTTTTGGCCAATCAGCCTTTCTTTATAGAGATTCATTGAATCAATGCATCTCTATGGAGAAAGTTCAGCGTGGAGACACAGAACGTCAGTGCTGCATGTTGTGCAGCACTGACCCAGTAAGCGCCCCTATTGGCCAACCGAGGAGTGGCCACTGCAGGTGTCCCTAGGTAGTAATGTAAACACTGCCTTTTCTCTGAAAAGACAGTGTTTACAGCAAAAACAACCTGCAGGGGCAGGCTATAGACACCAGAACAGTTACATTAAGCTGTAGTTGTTCTGGTAAATATAGTGGTTATTTAAAGCAAGCATACATAATTTTTTTAAAAAGTTTAACTTATATTATAGTTAAAGAAGAACTTATATTTTTTAGACATTCTGGTCCAGGTCAGTAGATTGCCTAAGGCCAGCCTAGCTTTTTTAACATAAGGTAACCTCCAAACATCTTCTTATAAACCTTTTTTATTATTAATCTTTTAGCAAACATTCCATTTTGGTTAATGCTGTTACAGTAGCAGTTTGCGACCAAGGCTTTCACAGGGTCATGCACTGAGCATTCTATTATTCTCCCTGCCTTCAGGCACCCAACACAATACATTTGTTTAACTTGCATTGATTTCTCTCCATCTACCCATTCTGATTTGTGGATAGTTTTCCCCTGTTTAAACTTGGAAAGATATTGTTCAAGGACTTGTGTGACGTTTCTCTAACTGACAGGTTTATAGGGTAATAGATGTTGATGTGATGTACGAGTGGAGATAATAGGGCATTTCTATACTGTGTTTGTTCCCATAAAAATGATTGGTTTTAAGCTGTTATTGTAATATTGCTCCAATTGTAACATCGAAACTAGCATTCTATAGTTAGACGCTTATCAAAATAAAAAAAGAATGATTAATAGACATCACATTATTGTATCGGCCCATTTTTTTAAATTTGAAAACCTTTTGATTATTATGGAATCAGAGAGAAAAAAATATATGTCAAGTTAAATTTTATTTTAATTCAGTTACACAATTCTTGTTAGGTTCATCTGCCACGCATTCAGACAGGCTGCATTTCTGTGTTAAATTGACATTATTGACTTTAATTATGAAGTCAATGACCTGTAACGTATCACTGACTATGGGAATAATAAAAAAAGTTGTATTTTCTGCGTTTTACTTCCAGTAATAGCACAAGGATAAAAATATTTATAAATCATTAAACTTTAACACATGAACTGTGCTGTTGCTTGTTCCGTGAGTGGTGTAACTTGAAACTGCATTAAATAGAAGTTTGAAACGCAAAAGTTAGGGCAAAATAACTCATCTAGCAAAATCCTTCAACTAAGCAAGTATTATAGCTTTGGCATTTTATCCTAAATCTCCCATTTGAATTCTCATTATCTATAATTCAGAGTTTGAATAACCCCCCCTACCAGTGCAGTGTTTTGTGTTTTTTCCATGTAATATGTGGTTTTTGAGGCTTGCCTTGATGTGATCTGGTCTTGTGATGGATATTCATTAAAACCTTTCATTTATTATTATTATTATTTTATTATAATTTTTTTTTATTATTTATATAGCGCCATCAGATTCCCTAGCGCTGTACAATGGGTGGACTAACAGACATATCATTTAAATCTTTCATTAAAATAATCATTAAAACCAGGCATAGGGTAAGGTGCAAGGTCAGTGTCATAAGGACTTTCTAGAATACACAACCATCACAGCACATTGTAGTGGTTATGGTGTAAGGAGTCCTTGGAAGCCATCTTCTGGTAATCTGTCAAATCATTAACTTACAGCTTGCTGTGTTAGTTGCCTGCATAGTTCATACCTTCACATTATTATACCAACACACATCAGGTATGGACAGTATTTATTAATTAACTTAAAGTGTCAAGGTATGGACAGTATTTATTAATTAACTTAAAGTGTCAAGGTATGGACAGTATTTATTAATTAACTTAAAGTGTCAGTGGATATCTCTTAGACATTGAATGATATTTAAACCTGGTTCAATAATGAAAAAGTATGATTTTACACTTTACCATACCTACTCATATTGGAAGAGCTGTGGGCACCCTTCAGGTGAGGGTCAAAATGTTCATAAATAGATTACGAGTGGTTGTTTTCCATATTTTTGCATAACTCTCTCAAGGCCTTTTTATATCATATCTCTATATCGATCTGCATTTCTCTTTAAGCTTCTTTCCATTTTATTTCTGTGTTTGTGATAGTATTTTGGTATCCTGTTTTGGTCTGCATGTGATAGAGTATGTCTATGTGTGTCTGTGCACCTTTTTATCTCTGTTTCTCAGGCCTAATATCTCTATCCAAAACTCAAATCCAGACTAGATTCCTTTTGGGTTAAGCACCCCACAATGACCCCCAGGTTCTGAGGCCCCTTTGGAGGTGACCACAGGAAAGTATACATTTGAGGAGGTTTTTGATAGTAATGTTACTTTAATTGTAATTTTAATAGATCAGGTATATGATATGCTTTGTTAGTGTATACATCAAAGCACTAGCACATAGTTTAGTTTCGACACTGCAATTTTTTGTATTGTGTTTTTTAATCACATTCGTTTTGCATTATATATGTTCACAATGCTCTTACAACAGATTATCTAAATACACTTCAGCTTATTTAACACTAGTACTATTTGATTTGTCTCCCATTTTGGAATTAGTGTAGGACCAACCGAAATTGGGGTACTGTGAGGTAACTGGAACTGACTCCCCATATTTGTTTACCGTATTGTTTACTGTATTTTTATGTGTGCGCTGTTTCATAATCTGCATTATGTATACACACAGTTACAGACAGTCACACACACAGACACAGTTATAGGCAGACAGCCACGCACACAGTTACAGGCAGACAGTCACACACACACAAAGTTAGAGACAATCACACACACAGGTACATGCAGACAATCACACACAAAGTTACAGTCAGTTACCTCTTTCCATTATGGGCTTCAGACCGCATTTAGATATGCCCTCTGCTGCCTGTTTATCTTCACCCCACATCTACTTTAGCTCTGCCTCATGCCATATGTAGCATATACATATACACTCACAAGTCATAATTTTTATATTTGCAAAGTTATGGGGACAAGCAGCAAATTCATGGTTTTAAAGTCCCTGTCTAACCCATGGGCCCTTGACAGCTGCCTTGGTCCAACTTTTGGTTAATCCTGCTCTCTACATTTCCACTTACCCTTCTTGAGTAATTACCATATTTTTTCCTGTTCTTTGCTAGATCTACCATGCAAGAAAACATCAGTCCTTGACATTACTATGTCTTCCTTTCCGTTGTTCATATGCAACTTTTATATCCGCCTTTTGTCCGTCTCCTCGTGTCTGTCTCTCCATTTTGGTTTCTCAGCCCCCTTTATGTCTATCTCTTATTGCTTGTTTTCTTTTAGTTCTGTTTTTGTATGTCTGTTTTCTTATCCCTCAATATATATCTGTATCTCTCTGTTTGATTCTCTTTGTTTTGTCTCAGGTAACCCCATTTATGTATTTTTTTTTCTCTATCTGCTTCTGAATGACCTCAGTGACCTGACATTCTCAATTGGTTCTTTTCTGAAACCATGTTTAATATTATAGCTATGGCATCTGGTCACAGGTCAGCTGAGAACACAAAGTCTTAAGTGTTTTACAATATAAGAATAAGATGAACCAGAGATGTTATACCGCCATTCCAATCAAGTACCTGCACTACAAAATAACATAAAAGTACTGTTTGTGCTATTGCCCACTTCTGCTCCACTTTCATTTGCAAACCATAATTCTCTAACTGCATTAAATCACTACTAAACAAATGCAAACTAGCTAACCAACTCCTCAAGTGCCCACACCGGAATTAACTCTTAGTATTATTAGTTATACACTGTATTTCCCCTCTGTTACATTTTGTCTTAATGTCTATAGTTCACTTTAGATTGTAAGGTTACTGACCGACTCATATAAAACTTTGTATGAAAATGCTGTAAATCTTGTATTAAAATTAGACTTGTGCAGGGGAAATAATTTTGTTTTTTGCAGAACTACTTCGTCAGATTTATTGTTTTCTTTTCGGCTGGCAGATTTTAGATCATGCTGTTTTACAGCCCAACTGAATTTTGGTACTGAAACAACAGGTAGGAAGTTTGGATAGTGAAAACAGCAGGAAAAGGCGACTGTGACTGTGACTGTGACTACATGCAAAAATGACTACAATATTGCCTGGCCTAAAGACTACACAATACCCGCCATTTTTCCATTGTCAGTTCTGAGTTGCCAAAATTAGATTATTATATATCTGGATTAAAAATAAAAATGTTTTATAATGATGGCTTGTAAGCTTTTTCATTTTGCCATCTTGTTTTAATGAAAAATGGGAGGCAGGAGTCATTTTAAGTTGAAAATAGGGGATTATTCCAAAATTGAAAGGAAAATGTTGGTGGGCAATTAACAACCACTCGCACCTTCCACCCTGACAAGAACAAATCTTTCCCACACACCCACTGTGTAGCATCATGGAATGTCCTTCGGTTAAAAAAAGCTGTGCCCTAGCAGCAAAAGGACTAATACAATTTAAAAAGGTTTAAAAAAAAAATAAAGTGTGGAATAGGTGAGTGGGTCATTAATTATCCCTTGATTTTTTTCCTTTCACTTTTTGAAAAATCTTCTGTTTTCAGGTTAAATAGTCATGTTGCTGCTCCCTCTTTTTAAAAATGTTTTTTATTGGAGTGGCTTTTCCCTGACTGGCTGAGTCTTGCTGTTGCTGGTAGAAGTCGAAGATACGACATTGTAATTTTCCCAACTGAAAGACGGTCAATCACTCTACAGACTGGATGTATGGGACAGCTTTGTTCTTCTCATGATGGGTGAGCGGGTCATCAGTTGCCTACTCACTTCTTCTCTAGAAAAAGAAGTTGGCAACCTTCACTGTGGAAAAGGCTTACCAATATGAAGTTAAATATATAAACTTGCACTAGAATCAATGACAAAATACCTTCCTATCTTCCACTCAAAGTTACCTCTGTCAGGATCTGCTAACTATAAATATCAGAAAGCTAAACTTGTCTCACATTAGGATTGTTAACCCAAGCTAAGAAAGAGGAACTTTTTTTTCTTTGTGACTAAACACAGAACTCCTAAAATTAAAGATTTTCTTTCCTCCAAATAGTAAGCAAACAAACTGCTTACAATTGTATGTTGGTAACCTACTCTCACACTAGGATCAATGACAAAATTCCTGCCAATCTCCTATTTCCACTCAACATTATTTCAAGTGTCTCTGTCAGTAGCTGCTAGCTCCCTCTTGATTGAACAGGAGATACAGCCCACATGATTGGGCATGCCTCTTCTCCTCTCTAAGCTGCTTATTTGCCCTCACCCCCAAAAATAGTCTCTTAACCTTTCATCCTCATTTTTTTCTGTTGCTATGAACGGCACCGTGAACCAAGAACCGAATACGTTCAACCTTGCAAGAGTCGTTCCGCCCGGGTTGTGACACTGAAATCAGAATTTTTGCTGATCAGCTGCTTTGAATTGTCGTTTAGTCTGAAATAAACCTCAGAGTCTATAAGGCACCTTTGGGCACTTTTTGCTTCATAATGTCTATTTATAAACTTGGTCTCTAACCCAGCCTATGAGTAACTTCTATACTTTGTAAAGTACTCAGGATAAGTGCACAATATACAGGTTTATAAAAAGATTGTTTTTTAAAAAAAAGTATCAAAAGAGTATTTAGTTACAACTAATAAATCAATCAAGCAATCAATCTATGGCCAACCATAACTATGTCAATGAATTGTGCTCTTTTATATATAGATTTACATATACATTTGGTTAGTGCTGCTCATGCCAAAATGTATTAGATTGATGTTGATCCGGATTGGTGTGGATACAAAATATTACTTGAACATTGGGCCATATAAAAGAAGTGTAAGGTATAGTGGTCCGCATAGAAAGATAAACTATCTCCGCACTTTTTGAACTTTACAGGTTGTTGCCAGAGAAGACATTTATAATATTGACTGTTGCTGAGACTTTCTAATATATTTCCTCTAATGGAGCATATTGGATAGTGTTGGGGAAGAGTTTCTAGACTGTTTGCACTCTCAATTGCAATAATTGTAAGGGACGAGTATCCTCTTCATGTATTTGGTGCCCCAGTTGTGCATAATTCTAAAAGTAACTTTGTGGCAAAATTGTTTAGGTGGTGGAGAATGAGGGTCATATGAAGAGACTGTATTTGCACTGTTGGTAACCTGCTGACATAATTTCTCCATCTACCAATGGAGATTTTTGGGGGGATTTTTTTTAGGAACTCCAGTAGTTAATTTTCCAGTTCACTTGTGAATAAACAAATGCATATATTAATATTGGGTAGCAGGTGTGAAATCTTAGATATGTTTTCAGATGGAAAATGGAGAATTTAATTACACATGTCACTTGATGCATACGAGGAAGCTCATGTCTAAGCACCATAACAAGTGAGTACACATGCTCTGAATTATGTAGCTTTAATTATCTCTAATCCAAGACACTTCTAGTCACAGTCTTGTTGTTATCAGGAGACACCCTTCTACGTTCAATACATCTGGTTTATGACGGTTTAGTTTAAGGCAGTAGGCACTCAGCAATGCTCAACACAACCCACTCAAATCCTCGAAATGTAGGTCTTATTCCACAATTATTGACCCATACTTGATACTGTGTTTGGAAAAAGTGAAATACAAATGTACTGTATGTGTTCTTGGTGAGATTTAGAGATTAAAAAAAAATTACAAGAAAAAGAATGTATCGTTAACTGCCAAAATAAACGATAAAACATGAGCAATTTCTAGTTTAAAAGCTTCAATGGTTCAACATTCAGGTATATTCACAAAGCAATGGACAGTTGACCTTACCTTTCACTATCACATCAGCAATATGGAAAATATATTTTGATATATATACTTCCTTTAAATAACTTGTCACATGTGAGGTGTTTTTTTTTTTTTTGACTCATGAGAACGCCAGTAAATTAAACAATCATGGCAAAAGAAATGATATTTCCAAATCTGGATGTTTATATCCTGGCCTTTTCCCATGAAGGTGTAGGCTCAGTGGGTGGACATAATCCCCGGTGAAAAACAGTCTCTTAGCAATAACCATGCAAAACAATAACGTCAAGGTCAGTTCTCAGAGGTCAGATGCTGAAAATGTCTCTCTATATATACTTTCTATTGGTAATGAATGAGGTCAGCTGGTAAATGCAAAATTTGGGAAAAATTACCTTAACAATACAACAGCCACTAGCAAAGGTCTACCCAACAGAGGAAAACAAGGGGGTACATAGCTGGATGTTGTATAAAATATTTCTAAGAATCACAACTGTCTGTAACTCCAGTTGCAAAGACAATTGCAATTCCAAATGGGGGTACATACATGTATCACTGATACTTAGCATTGAATTGGACCAAATAATTGAATTATCTATGGAATTATTAATTCAGTAGTTGCTGTACTGTACATATCATATGTGGATTGTCCTATGTTGTAATGGTGGGGAATAAGATTGTCTCCTGTACCATTTAGAGAGTCCTAGCTATGTCCCCTTAATTTCTCTGGCATATGCATTTAGCGGTACCCAGTTGCCTTCCTTGGCACACATGAAATAACTATGCCCACTTTTTCTTTATGGAATGCAATGTTTAAATATGTCCAAGAGCCATTAACTGTGTCCATTTGTAAAACATTCATAATAATACGGTGCTTGATAATTCTTGTAGAGGTCAAAGACTGACCAAAATGTTGCTTTATATTTATTGATGAATAAAGTGTATTTATTTTGAGAATTGGCTGCCGTAGCTTTTTAAGTATCCTTAAAAATGCATACATTTGCTTCACTGACCTCATGTTTGAGCTGCATGAAACTGGTTATATTAAGGTACAAAGTTAAAATTGTAAGCTGTAGACGGGTCTATTGGTTGGAACAAAGTTTGCCTCTTTAATTTGGTGAAGTATTCTGCTATGGATAGTTAGTTACATTGGCTATATATATATATATGGAAAAGAAATATGGTTTTAGGAGACAGTTAACATGGGAAGCTACGGAAGGATCAAATGTTGCTGAGGGAATATAAAGAGTATGAGAAGTTGGGAAGTGTTAAACATTTGGGAGTTTTGAGTGGAATGAAAAAATGGCTGCATGGGATATTGATGGCCGAGAGTTAGATGAAAAGTGGATGCTGTGAATATGGATAGGTGTGTAGAGAGAGTGCAATAGCAACAAAGAAAAGTAAGAGGAAAATGACTTAAATGTATTCCTAGCACTATAGCTCTCTATAGTGCCTCATTTACTCGCACGATACTCCCCTTCCTCCCCCATTCTCCCTCTCCGCAGCACAAATCCCTTTTCTCGCTTACCTGGATCCAGCACAGTTGTCCCTCGGCACTGGGTCAGGCTCCGCCTTCACTCCTTTGCAGCAAGCGCAACACTTGCATTCGGACAGCCTCATAGGAAAACATTTTATAATGCCTTCATTCAAAAAGTCACCTAACAACCCGTAAACGTCCAGACAGCAACGAGAGGTGGAGTTAACCCTGCAATGTAATTATTGCAGTTTCTTAATACTGACAGGGACACTGCACGCCGACCTCTTCAATTAGTTGAAGTGGTCTGGGTGCCTATTGTATCTCTTCAAGGGGATAGGGGCAGCTGTGTAGAGAGCCTTGGGTGTAACATTTATGAATCAATATTAAAAAAAATCCACAACTCCAGAAATTGATTTAACAATTTTTATTCCATGCCGAGAGGAAAGCTGAATATCAAGGTAACAGTTGAAATATGCATAGATGGATAACAAGAGTAATATAGTTGTAGGTAATATGGATGACTACAATCCATATGAGTCATCTCTAGACTTGCTCAAGATTAGATTTGTAGCCTAAATCATATCAAAATTGTTTGAGAGGGCAACTCCTATGTTGTTAAACAATTAGATAGTTTACTAAATCACTGAATGACAAATAATACATATAGAATCTAATCTGAATTTTACAGTATGCAGATAATGATATGAGACAGAATTTCTCAGCAACCTACAAGTAAGGACAATATTCCATCTCATTCTATCTTACAAATAATTTCAATAAAAGTTTTCTAACCTACATCTTTAGGTCTTCATTGTATTTTCTTGAACGCACAACACAGCAATTTTTTTTTTAGATTATATTACTTTATTAAAGGGGTGCAATCAGAGTAGGTTTGGAGCTACAAAAATATCTGACTGCTTCAGGTCACTGTGTAAAGTGAGTCTTTTTGGGAAGAACATACAACTCAGCTAAATTCTTAGTCATCTTTCATATTCTTAGTGTTAAAGAGATAAATGTTATATATAACTATGGAAACAAATTGGCTCCTAGTAAAAGAAAAAAATCTATAACCATGGAAACTGATAAAAAAAAAAAGGAAAATATAATAAGAATAGGCTATAGTTTTCTTAAAAGCTATCTTGTACATGTGTTGTAGAAAGAGACTCAAGCAGCAGATGTAAAAGTGGTAAAATGTATAGATTTCTTGAGATTGCTATACAACCATCTGAAACTACTGTATCTTAGGTCATGAACCAATGAAAAAAAAAAAATCATAGAACTATATATATATATATAAAAAAATGAAAAAAATAGGAAAAATCTATCACTCGATCTTAAATGCATTAAACGTTCAATAAACCACGGTGCCGCACGCTTTGTAATATAGTAAAAATGAATGAAGAGAGAGCACTTAGTGGCTTATTCAAAGTTGTATTCGTGTAGTATTTAGGCGATCAACGTTTCGACCCAGGAGGTCTTTATCAAGATTCTTGATAAAGACCTCCTGGGTCGAAACGTTGATCGCCTAAATACTACATGAATACAATGCTGAAAAATCCACTGAGTGCTCTCTCTTCATTCATTTTTTTTTATATATATATATATATATAAATCACAAAAAAATTAACCCTTAAAAAAATACACAGACAGCAAAATAAGTGCTGTTGTGCAAGAGCCAGTGATCTGTACAGTGATCACTGGCAAGATTTTTTACTCCTTATACAGTACCTTGGGGTGTGAACTTTTCAAATATATGCACGTTCATGTTAAGACAATAAATTGGGATATGTAAAAAGGCCCTCAAAAAGAAGATAGGCATAGATATGTCAAATTTGAAAAACACATGTCAGAAGTGTGGCATTGCTGAACACATATTGGGGTGTTCTTTGGCAGTAACACATAACAGGAGCTAAGAATCCATGCCTAAAGTACAATGTGAGAGAAAAATAACACAAAAAATGACTACTCAAAAGGTTGACCTTTTGTAGCACCATTTGTGAAATCTTCTGCTTCTCCTTCCAGACCTCACTTGCAGGAAGGGATGGATGCCAGGTCAATGTCCTAAATTTTGCAGGAAAATAAAACAATCCTGAAATTAATAAATGCACTAGAAGTGATGTCATGTCCGGAGTCAATTAGACCAGAAAGTCATTCCAGCTTTAATACAATTATGTAAAAAAACATTTTGTGCATGTGTATATGTCAACACCTCACATGCCAGTTAAGCTAGTGGGTGCATTTCTACCTTATATGAGTTTTCCAGACTTTAGCCAGAATTTTATTTACTCATAAAATGGTGGTATATCTAACGGCAAACTGAATTTGTAAATTTCCTGGAGTTTATTTCTTACGAGTGTGCCTACTTTACTACTCTGGTTTTACGAACACTAGTAAATCGACCTCATTTTGCTAGTTAAATTTGCCAAGTTTTTTTCCCTCTATCAACTTACAGCCATGTGGTAATTTGGATAACATTGTTATTGGGGGGGGGGGGAAGCAATCTTTAGTTAAGAATAAAACTGAATTTATATACTTGCTGTTGATTTAGCCAGCACGACATACATATGCTATCAAAGTGAAAGTAGATTAGTAGCCAAACAAGATTGGATCACCTACAGGGGCACTCAAAGAATATACACATTTGTTGATCCTTGGCTCACACTTGCATATGCAATTCATTTACTTCCAGGACTGTATTGACTTAAAAGGACACATCAGGCACTAATACAATTTTATTGCATTTGATAGATTGTGGCTTCATTAAGATGCTGTATTTTTTTGCACGCTCAAATCTTTATAGTTTTTGCATAGCAAAAATAAATGTTTTGCAGAATGCTGCACAATTAACCTCCCTCCTTATCCAAGTCCCTTCATGACAGAAATAAATATTTCACATATTTCACAGTGCTGTACAATACGACACAAGACAAACATTTAATTGTAACAAAACATATATTGAATATCGGAAGAGTAGGTGAATAAGGCCCTGCCAAAAATTAGCTTAAACTCTTAAGATATGACAGAATGCCAGTATGCCACCACTATCAACAGATGGCAAGCCTGTAGTCAAACAGGGTGATATTCCTGAATTTGCCAAAGCAAAGTTGGAAACAAAACAAGACAAATTGAGGCAATTCAGAGGTTACAGAGTTTTCTGAATTAATTCACACGTTTTCCAGTTTAAAATCATCTGTATTGGCCCAAACATTAATAAAATGAGTTTCAACAAGCTCAAGGCTTTATTCCTGAGATATTTGCCAAAATGACAAATGTATCCCGCTCTGCTCAGATATCAAATCGAAGGACACCAGTTATTTAATAAAAGATTTATCAATAAACAGTGAATGGTAACAAAACAAATTGTCAAAAAATATGATCGAAACAACCCATTGGAGTCGTGTTCAGTCCTGGAACTCAGGTGCAGTAACAGCTCTCCCTTACAAGCATGATCCACAGAGATCTTGAGGTTGAGAATAGGATTCTGTTGGGTTAGTGATGGGACGGGGGCCAATATTACCCACACATAATCCCCACTATGGCTTATTTTTTTTATATTTTGCCTGGCGTCAGGACTAACCTCCATATGCTTCTGTGGACTACCGTGTAAATATGCTACCCACACTTGAAACATAGAGTAGGTAGTAATAGAGTAACATCTCTATTACTTGTGTATACTTACCTCAACAGAGCACTATTGGCTACTTTTTTTGTAATTTTATATATTCTACGGTACCACTACTCTGCTGTGAACTACCGCCTGAAGAATATCCTGCAAGTGGGTATATAATACCACTGCATGCTGTTTTACCTTTGACCTTTGTGTTATTTGTTCAACATTATACAACTATATTGCACTATTGGTCTTTTTCCTGTTTATGCTCTTTTTCATGTGCTACTACTGACTGAAGTTGTCCCACAAGAACTTTATAAATATTTGAATGAAGGACCATTATTTCTAAGACAGTTTTCTATCTGGTATTTTTTGTTTTGGGATTGTTATTAGACAATTTTTTTTATTGTTTTTTTAAGAGGTCTTTTTAGATCCTTCATTTTTTTTTTCCTTTTTGGCGCAACCTGTCTCTTCTGTTTCCTTGTTTGATTATCTACTAAATGACTGCAAGATTCTGCCACGGCCCACGGCATGGATCAGAATTTCATTCGCCCAAACTAAATTCCGAAACAAAAATAATGGCCAAATTTAGTCTAAAAACAAATGAGTTAACAGATGAAATTTGGTAAAAAAAAAAAAAAAAAAAAGTGTACGAATATATTTGAATAAAACAAAATTATTGGTGGCACCCAAGTCTATTAGGAATACATGTTTGTATTCTTAATGCTATAGTATTCCTTTAATGTTTTAATCTGTTTTATTTTTTGATTTGGTAAAAAAACATTCACAACTCATTTATAATGACCTAACTATTTAAAAATGGTTGTCAACTTAACACAACTCCCTGTTTAATGAGTGAACTCTCCAACTATGTGCAGTTGATGGGGAGTTAATCACTCAGTCCAGTTGGAACAGCTTTTATGGAAAGAATTATCTTAACCCATTAGTGGATTTCATGTTACCTGGGTAGTTATAAGTAAAATCTTCACCGGTAGAGATTTTTTTTTTTCAGAAAAAAAAGAGGTCTACATCATTGCAAGTGCCTGACCAGGAATATCTTTTTCAGCTTTATATGGGACTGAGGATCTCTGGATGACGTGGGATACCATCAATCAGGAGTGCCGAAACTATGGGCTGTTCTAACTGACATTAACTTTTTCCCTTCTTTGTTTATTCTCTCTAGTTAAGTTAAGCAACAAATTGCAACTATTTCTTGCAGGCACACTATTGTTGCACATTATCAAAGTTCTGAAACAACAGCAGGGAGGTGGCACCCAAACTGCACATTGCTCATTAATGTAGTACAAAAGGTCAAAGAAGGTGAATTTTATTTTTGCTCTTTTCATGATTCTATCTAACTCCCATTAAATGAAAGAATTAGATTTTATAATTAACACCCGTTGATGCATTTAGTCATTAAAATGGATTGGTTGAGTATTTTTTTGGAATAATTTGCAGACACAAAACTTGGCAGTATAAACTTGATCGAACTGCAATATCTTAAATCCAGCCTAATCTGCCTCTATAACAATGCTGAAGATAGTGTTTTATTCACCCCAGTACTACCACAAACATAATAAGTTTGTAGGAAAAAAAATCATATTGGTTTAAACTGTATAAACATTTTTTTATGAGTAGAAATTTACTGTTTTTTTAAATTTACTAAATTGCAGATTTCTTCTTTTTTTTTACAGATTGTCACTTTTATTTTGCTCAAATATCTTCAGTTTAGCAGATAAAATTCCTTTAAGGTTCATTTTGCTCATGATCAACTTAATCGAATATGCTTTTTACTCCTGAATCAGTCCCAGCAATTGTCATACTGCTGTAAGATTTGCTTGAAATTAGCTGAGTCAAATAGCAATGAAATTGCAACTGAATGTAAAATGAACGGCAGGCAATATTCCTTACCACTAAGGTAAGCATAGAGTTTAAAGGGATTTAGGGTTGGATTGTAATTATATGGGAAAGGTGACTGAGGGCCGCATTAACAAAAAAAGGGGAGAGAGAAAGCTGTATATAGTAGCTATCTTGAGGACAGATTCAAGGGGTTAAACCTTTCACAAAAATTGAATATAGAAAATGAGAGAACAAAATCTGTCCTGATTGGTTAGGATCCTAAATAAGCTAGACACATAAAATGTTACATTTAATAGATATACTTAAAAAAGGTTAAACAGAAACACAGGGATACAGGGAATTGGAAGAATACATACAAGGGGTGAAGGTATATACAAACAAGGGGTACAACGTGATAAATACCTTATCAAATGCTGGTAAGGCAAATAGATACTGTAATAAAGTCAGTAGATGAAAAAAAGGGTTACTATCAGAAAGTATGTGTATAATAGTAACAACAGTAGAAGAGGTAAGTATCACTTGAATTACAAAAATAGAACATTGAGGGAGAGAGGGGAAATCTCCTAAATGTCTAGTTTGGTGAAACCAAACTTATCGTAGATTTCTATCTCAAACCTCTAAAAAAGAAATCAACCAAGAGTAGTAGTGCATCTAGTTATAACCAATGATCTGTAGTATAAACTCGGGTGTCTAAGCTTGGATTTGAAAGAGTTCACTTAGAAAAAATAGCTTATGCTGATCAGTCAGTATCTTGCAATGAAGCCCCGATCTGTTCTAACAGTTAATTTGTTATGTCCACTTCACTATAAACGTCTTTCCTGGATTAATGCCAATTCCTAACCGTCTATATATAACCCTACAACTGTGCCTTCAAGGGCACAGGATATAAAGCTAAGCTGTCGATCTCCAAAGTGAAACTACAGCTAAATGCACTAGCTGAACTCTACCCTAGCACCCCCTCTAGAATCTAGCCTACCTTAGAGCACCACATAATAACATATTAGCAGCAAATCTGAGAAAAGTTGGTGACAAAGTCAAAGTAGGAGAGGGGTAAATAGTCGCTAC